TATGTTGATTGAACCTAGTTGTCTATCTTCACTGGCCCCACACATCATGTGACAAAACTTTCTGGGAGAAGCAACACACTTCTACTCAGCCCAAATAGGGATCCCACAACAGACCAAAGTGTGGGTATCACCAAAATCCTATTTGGTGAACCATTGAGTTATACTGGAGTTACTTACAAGAATATGAGTGAGGGATTTCTTACAGGAGCAGAAATAACTCAAAGACATCTGTATCACCAAGACCTACCCCAGTGTGAATGACAGCTCACAAAGCTGGAAAGCTTGGAGCAAACACTGCACAGCCTGCAAGCAGCTTGGCAGGTTGCAGAATGCCTTTTCCAGGTGACTCTGGTCTACACTTTTTCCAAGCAGTGGTTTCTGCTTCTTCCAGGCACCTAACCTGGTTTCAGAGTCTTTGCAGCTTTGCTCCTCTAAGCATCTCCTTTGCTGCTTACCTTTGCTCCTCTGAGAAGGAATTCAGATGTTTTGTTTTTGCTTACTTTGACAAGGAGAGGCCAGTGAATCTGTTCAGCTTCAGGAACTTTCTGAGGCTGTTTTGAGTTGTTTACCATCCTATTTAAAGAGCTGTCTTTCAGGATGCAATGTTTCAGTCTTAGAAGAAATTTTCATAAATACCACACAGAGATGCTGATATACTAGAAGAGAAATTGAAATTTTCACATCTGGATTTATATCTTCACACAGGTATGGTCTCTAAGTTCATATAAGCCATAAATGTTAATTACACACTATGATAGTTGGCCAGTTCTTTATTTCTCCTAATCTTAGGCTGAAATTTTGTGTTTCATTGGCTCATAATACAATCAATATTCAGGTTGGTTTCTGATTGGTTGACATTTGGAGAATAATCGTGAATTTCTCAAAGTCATATTTTGGCATAAAATACCTTGTACCAATTATTTTCATTGCTCAGTGCTAAGAGAGAACATTCTGTGGTTTCTATGACTTTGTCTTGTTACTTGCAGGTGGCCTGTTGTTCATAGACATCAATAGGTTTTAGAACTGTATCATGGTCTATAGGGGAGTTTTTGGTCTCCCCTGGAGTTTCTTTTGAGGTCAAACAGTTCCCAGGAAGCAAGTATTGTTGGGGACCATCACCATCCTCACTACCTCAGGTCTTTGAGATAGAAAATTACTGCCTCTTAAGAAGTAAGCAGAATGTTCAGCAGAACATTCCTAGATACAGGCTTGCGGTTTTACAACCAGTTAAAGAATAGCTCAGGATATTCTTGTTGTTGCAGCTTTACAGCCAGTTAAAGAATAGCTCAGGATATTCCTCCTGCTACAGTTTTATAGCCAGTTAAAGATTAGTTCAGGGCATTCCTTCTACTGGCCCTTTCACCCTACCCATGTGCAAACCTCTGCTCACATCCTGCCCATGGTCCTATATAAGCCTCCCCTGAGAAAATAAAGTTTGACAGCTTGATCAGAATATGCAGCCATTTCTACTGAGAGTCCTGTTTTCAGTGCTCCTCCTTTCCTGGGCTGTGGACTCTGCTTACACAGTTTTCCTGATGCCTCATTGCCTGCTCCTTCTCAGCTAGCTCTTCTGACACCCCTATCTATTGTTTTCAGACTTCAATATGCTTCAAAAATGCCCAACTCACTTGTAGTACATCACATTTCTGGCCCTTGTATGTAGAGACAGCACATCACATGTCTGGTCCTTATACATAGAGATTCTCGTCTGGTAGATAGGCCTAGGGGACAGACATTCTGATATAAGAAAACAGAATGATGGTTCAGCTTTCTAAACTCATTTTCAGTCCCCTTTCTCATTTTACCCCGTGCATTCATTGGCTAGCTCATTGTTTTCTTTACCTACCTTATCCCTAAGGATGTAGCAGTTACTACAGACCGACGTTTCCCAACCCTTGTCTTCCAGCTTAGATTTCTCTCATCTGGACTTTGCACATCCTTATTTGTTAAGCGAAACACAGGTCCTACAACATCCAAGGCTTTTCTCCTTCTCCTGGACTCATTCTTCCCTCTGTGTTCCCCCTGTGCAAGCCCAACCCGCCTCTCCTTCTTGTTGTCTATGTCTAATCAGCCCCAACACCCCCACTGCTTCTTCCTCGTGAGCCCTTATCCTAACTGTGCCTTCCTCATTCCTTCACTTTAGAGTTTCTCGGGCTTGGAAGGCTTGAAATATTGCTAGCTAAGATTTGTAGGGACCACTTCTACATTTTAGGATGCTCAGCAGTTTCCCAACCCTACTGTCTTAAGGACCAGTTAGCAAGTCCTACTAGGTAGAACCCAAAATGGTTCATGATGTTGAGATTGGAGAACTAGGAGGAAAGGAATGCTCTCTTGCCTGAACTCCACTAACCCTAGACACGGCCTTATTTGAAGCACTTGCATTAGCCTAAGAGATACGGGGTCATGGATCCTCCCTTTATTCCACACTTGCTTTTTTAAAGTTTTACGGTTTCCACCAGGAGAAAACACAGTATCTAACACAGCACAAAAAGAACACCATTTGTCTTCGTTTGCCTCCTCCAGCTTTCCACTCTAAAGACGCTGCCTTCGCAGCTTAATTAAGGATGGATGAAATTCCTAAGAAGTGGTAGCTGTAGCCAGTAAGTATTGGAGTAGCTGAGGAGATAAATGCAAAGCTGATAGAATGTTTTAAATTTAGGATCTGAGTAAGCGTGCATTTTGTGAAACATAGGAAGAATTGTGTTAAATATATGTAGTAAGTTAGTAAACTATAAGGCATGCCAAAGTTAAAATAAATAGAAAATATGATGGAACAGAGGGTCGCTTGCAGTCAAAAACAGGATAGAAAAACTGTTAGGGAAGACTCATGGTATGTCTAAACTGACACATTTAGGTGGAGACATACAAAACAGTGTCATATGTTATCTACTTACTGCCAGGTGTGGGTTGCCCCACTTCAACTTGTTGGCCAGGGGGGGCTCATGGACTTCCAAAACGACACAGCCACATGGTATGGAGGGCTCAGTGAAAGAACCAAACTGGACCACTCCATGGATAGAAAAAAGGGTTAATTGATGATCAAATTGCAGAAACTGGGTGGGGGTGTGGGAGGGGAAGAAAATAAAAAATAGCAGACAAACAATCAGAGGAGAGGGATCTTTGAGCTGCTACAGGCTGTTCAGATTGGCTGGGAACAAGACACCCTTGCCCTTGGTAGCTGAGCTTTGGGGCAGGGTTAGGGAGGCTCCTGGAGGATTAAGGGAGGTTCCTTGTTAAACAGAATCTGGCTTTAGGCTTCTGTTTACCTGGCCAGATTCCTTCTGTTTAAGACATCGTCATCAATACCACCATTTTGGGGAACATTCTGGACCTAACAGGGAGGATCCCATGAAGTCCCACTGTCAGCTGAGGAGCTGGGGACAGTTGATGGCTGCTGGGGAAGAGTCCGTTTCCTTCCAGACTACAACTCCTGATATTCCTTTCTCCATGAGTGGCCCTACACAGAAAATACTGGCAGCACTGACTGCTCTCTCTCTTTCACCTGACTTTGGGAGGGAGAAATGGAGAGGGGATCTGGGAGGAGCTGGAGGAAATGGAATAAAATCTATTCTCTAGGTGTTAAGCAAACCCTTGAGGGCTAATCCAACCCAGTTGGGACCTCTATGAAGGAGATTCAGTTTAAGATAATGTACTTTCCCTTCATAGAATTCCAAGCTCTTCGTGAAGTCCCTAAGAGCGGAGCCTTGATCAGGTTTGGCTGATCTGGCTGGGTCTGTCTAACTTTCTGAGGCCTGACTCAAAACTGCATAATTATACTTTCCTTTTGTTCCAACGTTTTGCTTCAGATGCTGGTTTGGGCTTAAGTATGTTTTGTAAATTTAGCTTTTAACTCCCTAACTCTTTTTGTTTGTTTGTTTGTTTGTTTTTTCAAGACAGGGTTTTTTGGTAGCTATGAAGCCAGTCCTGGAACTTGCACTGTAGACCCGGCTGGCCTTGAACTCAGAGAGATCCGCCCGCCAATGCCTCCCGGGTGCTGGTGCCAACGCTTTTTCTGAATCTCTACCCTCCTACCCTGAGGCTGCCTGCCTGTGGTGTCTGCCCTTCATGATTATCTTCTCTATATTCATCCTTGGGGCAACTTTAACAATTTGCCTGCCATGGGCTTTTCCTTTTACACTCTAAAAACAAAAAAACAAACAAACAAAAAAAAATTATCCTTGAGCTTCTGTTAGAGTCTATTATTGATTCTCTTATTAATAAAACCAAGATCGCCAGGGATGAACCCAACTTCCAAGGTTGGGTTGGGTTCCAATGTTGACGCTGCAGGGACGCCCCAAGATTTCTGGTAAAGCGAATGAACCCATTCTTACACCCCTAGATGGCATGAGTGGGGGTGTTGATCCAAACAAGTCATAACCAGGTATGAAAAGCTCAAAATAAATCACTGCGTTCACAGTGGCTCCAGCTTCAACTACGTTGCTGAAACCCTGTCTCAAAGCAAACAAAAAACCTACATTACTTCAGAACAACAACCATAAAGCTTCGGGTTTTTTTTTTTTTTTTCCCCATCCGCCCCAAAATGTAAAGGTTAAATTCCTGAAGCCTATCTTTTACTCGAGGAGCTACCTACTTTCATAGTGTACAAGAAGAGTTTTAGGGATGTATTCAGTTGGAATGAAGCAAAAATAAAATGTGAGTCTTTAAAGAAAGTGTCCGTTCCTGAGTTGCTTTTAACTCACTCTCCTCCAGGATAAGGGCGTTTGTCGGTCCTACGTTTGCTCTCCAGGACAGAAGAGACTTGCAAACGAAGAAAGCTCCTTATCGCTAAGGGCCTCCTCGGGGGAGGCCGGAAGCACCCCAGGGCGAGCATCTGCAGCAACTCTTGCTTTGGATTGAATCATCCCCTCCTCCCCGAGCCCAACGCTTCCGCCTCCGGCGGCGGCCGCACTGGCTTCCGCTCTAGGCAGCTCCCGGCTCGTGTTTATGGTGCACGCAGCCTCTCTAGCCTCGCTCTTCGTCCTCTCTGTGTCAGCGCGGGACAGGCGGCAGTGTGGAACGCCGAGTCTGTCCTGAGCAGATACGGTGCTTTCGGAGGCCCGCGGAGATCAGGGGCAGCTAAGGTGGACGCCTGCACGGCTGTGAGTGAACCCTGCGGAGGGCACTTGAATTGGGGGGGGGGACTCCTCGGGGTACCAGGAGGAGGGTTGGGAGGGGAGGCCTGCACGCGGAGGGGGCTTGCGGCTTGCAGCAGCCTGGAACCCTGCGGTGCCCTGACCACAGTCGGCCCTCCACCGCTTCCGGGCCGCAGCCTGCAGTTTTGTAGTTTGCAGGAAGAGTTGAACCCGGGGCCTCGCGCGAGCTGCAGGGCTTCACTGCTGAACTGTCTCACTCCCCACCCCCAGTCTCATCAATTTAGGGAGCAGCTCAGATTACAGAGATGGGTAACCAGGCCTGGCTCTTTAAGTTTCGTTTCGTTTTGTTTGCTTTTCCGTACAGTTTTCCTGTGTAGCCCTAGGTGTCCAGCAGTCTCTTTGTAGACTAGACTGGCCTCGAACTCAAAGAAATCCTGCCTCCCAAGTGCTGGGATCAAAAGTGTGCGCCGCCTTGCCCGACTTTTTAAAAGTAATTTTTAAAACTACTTTATATGTATGGGTGCTTTGCGTTTTTGTCTGTCCAGTGCTTGCCTGCTACCCAGGGAGGTCAGAACAGGGTGCCTGATTCCCTTAGAACTGGAGTACAGAAGGTTGTAAGCCACCATGTGGGTGCTGGGAATTGAACCTGAGTTTTCTGGAAGAGCAGCCCCTCTTTATGTTTTACATTCAGAATCTTCTTAGCCTGGGCCATGTGATTGGTTAGGCATTGTAATGGGTGGTGTTTTTGTTTAATTCCTACTCTAGTACCCAGTACACAATAAGTGTTTGTTGGACCTGTCTGATGTTTTGCATCATTCTGTGAATTGATGCAGGCTTGGAGTGGGACTAACAAGTAACAAGGTGCCATGTTTCTGAAGTTACCCTTTTCCATGGGTTGGAAACCACATACTGTATGGTGCCTGCCTTCACCCTATGAGGTGATGATGGGAAGAACAGCTTTGAGCAAGTACAGGCGGCTGGATCTGGTAGTAGTTGGAGACCATGTAATCCTAGAGCCAGCTTACTCCGGGGAGGTTTTGCTGAGGTGCCCAGGGGGACTGGCCAAATTTGATGGACCTAGAGACAGACCGTCCATCCTAAAGTTGGGTTAAGAAGTATTTTTCCCAGTGGGGATGAACAGTTCAGTAAAATATTCCTAAGTGAATAAACAAAGTAGACACTGGAAATCCTGAGCGTCCTCTTGGATGAAATCCCCAGGAATTCAGTTAATGGCTGTTTAAAAAGAAAACAAAAACAAACAAAAAACTCTGCAGCAAGGAGTTTAGCTAAATACTTGTCAGAGGTATTTTGGGGGAAACAAAATAGGTAACATAAACAATTCCACGTGTATCCAACAAGAGCCTGCAGATCCACTGATCCATTCAGGAGTTAAAGTATAATGTATTCAATGTTAGTATTTATCAATAAGAATGTGTATAATTTTGAAGGTATTTGAACATGGGTTTAATTAGAACGATTGAAAATTTCCCTTTCAATTATCAAAAAACTTTTAGAGGTGCTTGGGAATGGTGTTGGTTATAGACCTGTTACTAGAAACTTGGGGAGGGGAGGCAAAGTTTCTCTCTGAAACAGCCCTGGCTGTACTGGAACTCACGCTGTAGAACAGGCTGGCCTTGAACTCAGAGATCCACCTGCTTCTGACTATCAAGTGCTGGGAGTAAAGGTGTGGGCCGCCACCACCCAGCTGAATCTATTTTTCTAGCTTTGGGAATTCCATATGCTATACTCATCAGAAAGAATGCCTGGAACATACTGATCATTCCTATTCATTTATTTATTTTTTAAGATGGTGTCTCTCCATGCCATCTTGGAACAACTCAGGAACAACTCACTTTGTAGACCAAACTGGCCTGGAGTTAGAGATCTGCCTATCTCTGCCTCCAAAGAACTGGGATTGAAGGCATGGGTCACCAACCAGCCTTCTAATTATCCGCTAAAGGGAAAGGGCGGTGAGTCATTACTGTCACAGTATAAATGGCAAACGTTTGTATATATTAACCAAATAACTGGGTAGAAATCAGTTTAAAGGATGAAAAGACGTTTCACTGGTAAGATGTTCATGGTGAAGCCAGGCTGACATGGTCCAAGGTGACTTAGAGAAGTCCATGGAACCTCCGCACCTGTTTACTGCAGATTCTATCCCATGGTGTGATTCTGGTTTTGGCTGGGTCTGAGAATACACAAGCAGTAAAATAATACTGTTTCTGAGCTGACATAAAGGCACTCACTTATAATCCTAGCACTTGGCAGGCAAAGGCAAGCAGATGTCCTCCTGAGTTCCTGGACAGCCAGAGAGCTACTAGTGAAATATGGGGACAACCACATATTTCTGACCCTTAGTTAAGGGAGTTGTGTTAAAATCATGGAAGAACAGAACAACATGAAGCTGTTGAAGAAATGGCTCAGTAGTTGTAGGCCTTGTTCCCAGCACACAAACTAAATGAGTAAGGAAGAAGTTAGCAGCAGAACTTTAACCTAGTGGAGAACAGAAGGAGCTGGAATGAGGGATGGAGGGGTGGAGCAGAGGAGGAACAACCCGTATGTGAGCTTTAGAAGGCAAAATGTGACCACTCAAGATGGATGACTGCCTAAAGGTCTGTGCTAGCCTGACTTTTGACAGTACATGGGCCGCCTGGCTTGACCTCAGGCATGTGCACTTTTACACTGATGGTTTACCCAAGTAAATGGTATTGGTAGGTCATCACTGAATTTTAATGTTTGTAAGTTACATTTTTACTGCATCAGTGTATGTTTGATCAGATTGTGTATGTGTGCGCGCACAATGGGGGTGGCTGGTGTACACAGGGATCAGAGGTTGATTTTGAGTGTCTTTCTCAGTTGTTCTCCACTGTGTTTTGAATCTCTTTGCTCTGGCTGGGTTGCCCTGTTTCAGGTAGATTATCAGGTCAACAAGCCCCAGGGACCCTCCGTTTCCACAGTACCGTGATTACAGATATGCACCAGAGCACCTGGGTCCTTATGCTTGTATGGCTAACACTGCCATCTGTCCGTTACCAACAGCCTTGTCTGACAAAAAAAACAGCAATCCTCAGGTATGACGTTTAAGCCAAGCAGTTCCTGTAAATTGTTCTCCAAGAAGCCAGTTTTAGCAAAGTTTCTGCTTACTAGAAGGTTCTGACAATGGGGTTGCCAAATTTAGCAGATAAAGGTACAGATTGCCCAGTTAGATACCAACTTCAGACAGATGGGGTTTACTTGTTAGCAACATGTAGTATGTAATGAAAATAAAATCTTTTAATTCATTATCAGCAGCACAAATTGACAGACTTGTCTGATAATTCTGTATGGTAACAACTGTAGACAACTCTTCTTTAACAGTGACACCAGAGAGGTGCTTACTTTAAAATCAGTATTGTGACAGGGACTGGAAAGATGACTGCTCTTCCAGAACACTTAGGTTGAATCCCCAGCACCTACATAGCAGCTCACAACTGTCTCCAGTTCCAGGGTATCCAATGTTCCACTTTCTAGCATTGCACCCATGTACAGGAAAAACACCTGTATACTTTTTTTAAATGTGGTGATTGGACAAGCAGTTTAACTATTCATTCACCCATCATAAATTATAGTACTCTAGAGGATTCAGGCATTATGCTGGCCTGCCCCTGTACCTGGCAGAATGCATTCAGACAGTGCATTCTCACCTCAGGCCAGGTGCAAAGGACCCCTTTAAAAGAAAGATGTTGCTCTCTCCTGCTGCTCCCCAGGGACAGACAGGACTTTTCCTGTCTCCCTCTTCTTTCCTGTCCTCTCTCTGTGTGTCTCTTTACCTCTTTTCTTCCCCCTCCCCTTCCCTTTCTAATAAAACTTGTCATTTAAGCTCTGCCTGGCATGTTTGTCCCTCTGCCTAGGTTACCCTTGCCTGCCATGGAATCCGCCAAGGTCTCCCACACAAGATCCCCCATGTACTTAACATTTAGAAGCTGGGATTTCTAAAAATAAACTTTGAGTTCCAAGGTAACATTTTCCCTCTTTTGAGACAGTCTCTAGCCCAGACTGGCCTCCAGAGGTTCTGTAGTAGCTGAGGATGACCTTGAATTTCTCATCATTCTGCCTCTGTCTCTAATACTGAGGTTGGCTGCCTCTAATACAGTCCTGAGAATTGAACCCAGGACCTTATGTCTATTCAGGGATTTTTGGCAGAATACCCTTGAGTTTCCTGCCCCAGGCCATTGTTAAGGATCCCATCTGCACACTGAATTGTGTGTTTTCCTTCTGTATTGAAGATCATTTATTTCTACCTTGTTTTCTCCTTCACAACCCTACCCCACTCTCTCCTTGGGTTCCAAGATTTTGGGTCCCTGTAAACATTTCCATCTCATTCTCTCTTCCAGATGACCTACCAGTTGGGTGTCTTATCATACATATCATCAGCTGAGCAACTGCCATGTAAGTCGCTGTCAGTCTCATCACACACATGCTTACTTTCTGAAGGACTACAGTGTGTCCTCTGCCTCTTCAGCTCATTTCATGCCCATAATCTTGTACAGCAAATCCCACAGTTTGTTTCCTTAACTTTCCCTGGGGAGACCTGAACAGATGTCTGTTTACCACAGGTGGGACACCAACTGAAAATCTTAATAACGACCCACCAATGTACCCTCTGGTGAGTCAGGGTTCTGGTCTTATGTGATAGAGTATGGATGAGGTTATTTGTAGGAATGTGGGTAACACTGAAACAAGCTACATATTTTAGAGGCTCACCCCGTGGTGAATGACAACCACTTGGAGGCTATATCCTTGATTCCTTCTTTCAGTTAACCTTTCACTTCCTGTGAAGTGTTTCCTTTGCCATTCTAGTATCACTGTGTCAGTTAGTTGCTATGGTTACCAGACCAAAGTAATCTCCATTCCAAGATGGATGGAGGGTGATTTATGCTGTGCCCAGAGGAAGAAGCCATACTGCAGTGGGCTCACAGCCTCTTATATTTTCTTGTTTTTGTTTAATGCTTAAGCTTTGATTATATAATTCTTCATTGCATTTGGTATTTGTTCATTCAGAAGAGGTATAACTTTGTCCTTTTCCATGTTAGCCAATAATCCTTTTCACTTCAATTTTTAATGCCCATCTCTTTATAGTACCACGTCATTCAACCAAACCCAGTCTGTTCGTGTGGCTGTTTGTCTATACGACAGCAATACCATATTATCTTTCTGGTAAAGCAGCTATTCTTTTCTTTCACATTTCTTGGCCCATTACTCTTTCATGCAGACCATCTTTCAAACTCCAGCGGGATAGGGTAGAATTTCCAATCGTCTTCTGATATAAATGGTACTGAATCTGTAGAATCCTTTAAAGTCTTGTGTCTTTTACAACGTTTGTATGTTGTATCTACAGTGTTTTGGTTGCCAGGATCCCTGTTAAATCGCATAACTAGTTCTAAGCAGTTTGTTAAACTTCTATTTCTTTCTTGTGGATATTTCTTGTTTATTCTGTTTCTCTCCTTAAACCATGTAATGTGATATTAAGTTGTGATAGAAAGTATTCTCATATTCTGTGATTAAATGATTTACATATGGTTGACTTTGGGGTTTCCTACTTGTTTGCTCTGTTTTGCTTTTGTTTTCTAAAGAAGTTCTGGATTTTACTACTTGTTGCTGTTTTTTGAATCAGAGTTTTTAGTACCAATCTGTCTTTAATGTTTTCTCTAGGTTGACCTACCAAAGAGATTTCTAGACAAAATAAAACAGGGGAAACAAACAAAAAAAAAGGATAATGGATCCATGTTCAGTTGGAGTCCAGCTTCGGACCACACATGACTGCCATAAAACCTTCTACACTCGGCACACAGGTTTCAAGACTTTGCAAGAGTTGTCATCAAATGATATGCTTTTACTTCAGCTTAGGACTGGAATGACACTTTCTGGCAATAATACAATTTGTTTACATCATGTAAAAATTTATATTGACAGATTTGAGGAGTTACAAAAGTCGTGTTGTGACCCATTTAACATACACAAAAAGCTAGCCAAAAAGAATCTGCATGTAATAGACTTAGATGATGCCACGTTTCTGAGTGCAAAGTTTGGAAGACAGCTGGTACCTGGTTGGAAGCTTTGCCCAAAATGTACCCAGATCATCAATGGAAGTGTGGATGTTGATCCTGATGACCGCCAGAGACGGAAACCCGAGGCAGATGTATGTATAAATGCTATTGTGCTTTGTACAGTTTGGGACTTAAGCTAGGTAGAGTAACTGTAAAGAATCATAGCTTTTTATTACATTCATTTGCATATAACAGGTTTGAGGTGAAAATTATGTTTAAAAATGTTTCTATACACTCAAGGTCCAGAATGAACAATAAACAGGGCTTAGGAAGAGAAAGTAATGTGCCCAAGACTCCAAGGCTACAACTTCTATTCTTAGACTTTAGGAATAACCTTTAGAACACTGGCACAGGCCAATTTGGGAAACTTGGACACTGTTCTGACACTGGAGTAGCTAATTGGATGTATCATTTACTGGAGATTGCACACTGGGAAGAATGTCTCTTTTTGTGCAGGACAGCTTTAAAATGACCTGGCTTATGATTAATTTTTATTTTGGTTTTGAGATGGGGGCTTACTCTCTGACTGACTGGCCTGGAACTCTCCATGTAGTCCTCAGTCTCATGGCCGAGATCTTTTATCAGCTTCCTGGGATCTAGGATTCCCAGGCACCAGTCACAGTGCCCAGCAGTCCTAGTGTTTAATTTCAGTTTTCCTCCTTTAAAATTATCCCATTCTTGTTTAAGATTTTTTAAATATCTGTGACTGTTTCAACTGCTTCTGCCTCCAAGTTCTAGATATAGTTAAGGTTAAATTTAGGGCTCCCTCTGCTCAAAGTGCACATAGTCTACACTGTGAAGTGTCAGGTATTTCATGCCTCTTCACATATATATATATGTGAACATATATGCAGGATATTTATATCGGAAAGTTGAGATCATGAAGCTGTCTTTATACACTAAGGAGCACTTCTCAGAGTGTCTCTTTATAAGCATTGTGTAATTTCTGCTGCTAGCATATTTTCTCCGTTATCTCCTTTTTTGCTGTATTAATAAACCACATTAAAATTTTAAGTTGTGTGTATTGTGTTCCTCTCAGGCCTGTCTCCAGGACCCAGTACTATATGAAGGTCGTCATAGATGCTTGCTGATTCTATCACTTCAGCCACCTCATCTCCACTGTTTTTAAATGACCAATTTCCCATTGCCTAGTCTTGATTTTGGGTGTATTTCCAAAGACCACTTACTTTTATCTCAAGTAACAGCGTTAAACCCTTAAGAACCAGAGTTTTGTTTTACCAAAGCCTTAAAACAGTGTTACAGTGTAGTTCAGAAAAGGAAACCTCATTGCTTCTCTCCTCTCAAAGGGGGGAGGTTCTGAAGGACAAAGAATTGTCATTTGGAATCTAGGTTCTGTGTAATGGGTTTTGCTGCCCTGTGGTGGCAGCCATTGCTGTCTTAATTATGCCATTCTCTGGCACCTGCTGTCCAAAAGACTAATGTAACAAAAACAGTAGAGAGAATTGGCTAGTGGAGGTGGGATATAGACTAGAAGAGTGGATGTTCCCACATTCCTTACTGTATATGTTCCAGACTGCCTCCCAAGTACTACTGATTGATGTCAACATTTACGGTTGTAATTTCCTTACTTTCATTCAGGGAAGAACTGCTAAAGCTCTGAGGTCCCTGCAGTTCACAAACCCGGGAAAGCAAACAGAATTTGCTCCAGAAAGTGGTAAAAGGGAGAAAAGGAAGCTCACCAAGAACTCGAGTGCTGGCTCTGACAGGTAGGCTGTGGCTCTCAATCAATAGGTTGTCAACATGCTGGTTCTCATTAGCAGTCACTAGATTTTTTTTCTCGGAACTTTCAGTTTTATGACCAGTCATTTTAAATCATACTGATTAGTAAAAGCTTAGGCTGTTACTCATAGGAACGTAAAGCGTCCATTCAAATGTTAGAAGCTTCTTTCTGAGAAGTTAGCATGAAGTGAATGAGGTAATGTTGTGGAATGAAATTTAAAATGGTTGAAGAAATGTCTTAGTTTGACCAAGTTACTGTGTACAAAACTTAATGCTGATAATCTCTTCTTGATATATCTGCTTCCTGGGAGAGAGCTGGCCCAAAGGTCATTGCATTTATGAGAACCCAAGAGTACTTTCGATTTTTCACAGGCCCAAAGTAGACACACAGTTCTAGAACAGTCAATAGAACAAACGAGAACTAAATCGTTTAAAATATGTCCTTAAATTGGGCATGTCCAAGAAGTATTGACATACTTATTACAACAGGTCAGGCTATTTTCCAACTGGAATCGACATTTTTACCTTGATTCCATCTGTTGGGTTTTTCCATGGAGTGACTTAAAATATTTTCAGATCAGATTTGCCAGAAGTTATTAAGAAACATGAAACAGATTGATTAGAATATAAGACCTGGGGAGAGAGTGTCCTGTGTTCATTTGGTAACTAGTAAAGGAGGCACTACAGGTTACTCATTCTATCCGGGTGTACGCTTGTGTAAAGTCATTTGGGGGGACGTTTCCCTATGGAACTCTTTTTTTCTTCTAATTATGTTGTATGCACATCCTAGTGTATATGTGTACGGATGCATGTGTATCCCATGCTTGTGTGTGAGGGGAAGTCAAGGAAACTGAAGCCTGGTTATGCCTCCTGCCTTGGGTTCAGCAATCAGTTACCAGGCTTGCATGTCAAGCGTGTTTAGCATCTGAGCCACCTCACCTGCCCTGGATTAACTTCAACAAGGAATTGAACAGTCATTTTCTGGCCTTTTGACTAATATTTCAACTAAATATTAAAAAAAATAGTATGTATGAAGTACAGCTCACTGTTCTGTTTTACAGACAAATTATTCCAGCAAAGAGTAAAGTCTACGACAGCCAGGGTCTGCTCATTTTCAGTGGCATGGACCTCTGTGACTGCCTTGATGAAGACTGCCTGGGATGCTTCTACGCCTGCCCCACCTGTGGCTCTACCAAATGTGGGGCTGAATGCCGCTGCGACCGCAAGTGGCTGTATGAGCAAATAGAAATTGAAGGCGGAGAAATAATCCATAATAAACATGCTGGGTAATTTATAGTATCAAACTATGGGGTCTTTAAAACTCTCTTTCTAAAATTCTGTCGCTTTGTAATGCAGTTAGTTATAGCCTAGCTTTTGAGAAATAAATTTGAAGCACTTTAGTATGAATTTAGTTGCATTTGGGGTGCTTCAAGTTGTTTATTTGACGTCAATTTAGATGGGTTGTTTCTCCAGAGCCAGCTTTAAGGCTGTCTGGGCCAATCTAACAAGTGTAGGTAGTTTGCACCTTGTAGGGTTCCTTCCCATAGGCACAGATTTGAGTTGTGATGATTTAGTTGAATGCTACCCATCTCTTAGCAGCCTAATGCAGCTTAGAGTTTACCTCAGTGTACTGTTAGCTGCATGGAGTTCTCAGTGCAGAAATCAGGACGCGCTTAGCCACTGTGCTTTCGTGCTCTGTGCCAGTCGTGAGCTGCTTTTCCGTTCTGCCAGTGGTTGCTCTCTGTACAACTGTTATTTAATTCACTTACAGCAAAGCATATGGTCTATTATCTCCCTGTCACCCATATGATATTTTACAAAAGTGATCACCCAAATAACTGGCCAGCAAAGATGAAAGCACAGCAAAGAAGTGAGCAGTGACCATTCTGGAAGTAAATTTGGATCGGTCGTAAATGGAATTGTAGACAACGGAGTATTGATGCCATTGCTGTTCTGGAGACAGACATGCGTCAGAGGAACCTGGTGATGGGAACTTGCCTACCTTGCTGAGGAAAGTGGCTGTGACGAAAGGAAGATTGCCCCAAGAAAAGTGATGCTTCACATTCAAGGCTACTTATTGTAAATAGATACTTCACAACATTGGAATGGTCAGAAAGGTTCCTATTTAATATGTTATTAACAAAATGGGCAAACAATATTCAGACTAATTTTGGGCAATAGAATACAACTTCAGTTCTTAATACACACACTTTAATTTTCTTATCCGTTTATTGCTGCAAGTTTTTGATATCTTGATGGAGATTTAAAGGTCATAGAAATTCTCATCCTCTTGATTATTAGCATTTCTTTGGTGTTGTGACCCCCTCACTTTATGCAAATAGTCCCAGGCCATAGCTGGGAACAGGGCCTATGACACAGAAAATTGATCTCCATGCAACAGAGTAGTTGAATGTTACTAGACTGTTTTGAAAATAACCTAGATACCTAAGTGCTAAAATACATTTCTTTCTTCCAACTAGAAATGAACACAAATGATTGTTACACTGTCAGCTTTTCACTTTAAATCTATGCGTTTTGGGTGAATTTTCATCTTTATGTGTAAAGCATAAGTATAGCACATAAATGGCTGCTCATTTGTCATAGTTGCTGTTCTATTGCTGTTAAGAGACACCGTGACTAAGACAATCCTTATAAAAGAAAGCGTTTTAATGTGGGCTTGCTTACAGTTCAGAGGCTTAGTCCATCATCATCATGTCAGGGAGGGCGGTGGCAGATGTTAGAGCAGTATCTGAGACCTTTACACCCGTATCCACAGGCAGAGAAAGAAGCTGGGCCTGATGTGGGTGGGCTTTTGAAACCTCAAAGCTCATCTTCAGTGACACACTTCCTCCAACAAAGCCACACCTCCTAACCCTTGGTAAATAAATAGTGCCACTTCCTGGTGATGAAACATTCACATGTATGGGCCTACAGGGGCCATTGTTATTCACATAATCACAGCATTATTTCTGTCCTGTTAGAACTGTATACCCAGACAGTGAGGATTGAGAGTTCTAAAAATGTCCCTTCAGGAAGTGATGAAAAACATGGAGAAACTAGAACCTGTGGAATAGAAATAAAGTTTCTGGATATTGATTGAGTCTTGGGGAGAAATCTGTATGGGTTTTTGTAGGGAATAGGGAGTCTCCAGACTTCTTCATAACTAAAGCCTTTGGAAGGCTGCTGTCACTAAAAGACAGCCACTAAACCAAGGTTCTCTTGTTCCTGAATACACTCTCTCAATTAAATCCTTAGCAATTAAAATATTTTGTAGCACTGCAGCTAAATATATGTAGTCACTTTGAGTTGACCATTAGAATACCATTTTTTGTTCATTTTGTTATCTTTCCACTCACCGGTTTTTCTTTTGATAAAATGCCATTTTCAACTTTTAATTGAGTGTACTATTTTGCCTAGGCATCAGAAGCTGATTAGGTCTTGGATCTGAATTTCAGTTAAGCAGAACCAATAAATTTTTAACTACCTTTTTTAATTAAAGGCAGAATTGTTTATTTTGAATTAAGGTAATATTTTGTAGGGGTATAGGTAGATAGGTAGACTCCAGTCTTATCTCAATCCCTAGAATCATTTGGTTTTAGTTTTTTTGTTTGTTTTTGTTTTGTTTTGTTTTTTCCTGGTTTTTACAGTGCTTATGCTCTTCAGAGAGAATTTCCTGTGTGTTTTGTTTTCCTTACAGCGGGACCTTACTATATAGCACAGGCTGGCCTTGGAGCTCTGCAGTCCTGTTAACCTCAGCCTTCCTGGGGTACCATGCATGCATCACCACTTTGCTAAGTTGTAGGCATTTGTTTTTGCTTACAGTGGGAGTATATTTCTGATGGAGAAAAGACTATATAAAATGTCTATATCTCAGCATTCCTTTGAACAGATGTTTTTATGAACAGTAATAACATTTTCCAAGTGGAAACTTCTTGAACATTTTGCTTTTTTTCTTTGTCCATTTGGGAACCAAACATGAGCATATTGCAGTGTTTATGGATAAATGTATATTTGATCTTGAGTAAACTAATAAAGACTATTTTAGAAGTAATTCAGGCTTGCAGTTGATTATTTTTAAGTGTGTGCGTGGTTGACGTGTGAATGTGGGCACATTGATGTGCAGGCCCAAGATTGACTTGAATGTCTCAGTTGCTTGCCGCTTAATTTACTGAAGCTGGGTGATAAGCTGGCCCCGGAGCCTGTTGATTGGACTATATTGGCTAGTCAGCTTATGCAGGAGGGTCGCTCCTGAGCTCTGTCATTACAGTTGGGTCCAAACCCATCCTCCTTGAGCAGCAAGCACTTTATCCACTGAGCCATCTTGCCACTGAAAAGAATCTCTGTCTGTTTGGTGTGGATTTTTGTTTGTTGGTTGTTTCACAAGAATATGTGCGTCTTTGGGAAAGTTTTACTGCCCAGAAATCGATACCAACAGTTTCTCTGCTTACATTCCTCTCACCTCCGAAAAGGTAATTAAAAGTTGGTTGACAGTGCAGAACAAGGGGGTGTGTCTTATCTGGACTGACCTTTCACAGTATACATCCCACTTAAACTATGGTCACCCTGTTTGAAGCTTACTGTGCTTATTGAAATTCATTTTGACACCTTAGTTTCTGCTGACACCTGCTGGTATAAACATCACAAACTCAACAACTTGTGAACCTAGGAGCCAAATAACTGATTGTCTTGGGTGTTGTCAAAGTGGTGGAAAGCAAAGTAGTTTTTAGAAATTAAAAGAATGTGTTTTGTGTATGAGTGCCAGGGTATGGAAGGACATCTAGATTCATTTCTTGCCTCCATTACATCCCATCCAACTCCGTTCACCAGGCTTTTGACAGATGAGCCATTTTCTGCCTCCTTCGTTTTCTCATTGGTAATATTGCCAGAATCTTCTAGAATAAGCACTTAGACACCAATGAGAGAAAGATGTCACTGGTGAATCAAAACCAGGACAGCTGAAAGGCCTTGGGATTGGGTGAAGTTGGCATGCTAAAACCACAGAGAAGGCAGGCAGGCAAGCAAGATGAAATATAAGCAGTCTGCAGGTTGTAAAGTAACAGCTATTGTTTTAGCTGTTTCTCCAGGTCATTCTGTTTGGGTAGCAAGTGAGGTCGTGCTTGGCAAATAGACAGACAATAGAACAATGCCTTAAATTCCTAAATTAAACAATGCCATAAATCAGCATCTAACAATTGGTCTTTGCTGCCACATTCTGCTTCAGTAACATGTAAGCTGTTAAGTAGATTATGTAACATTGGATTGCATCTGTTTCTCTGGGGAACAGCAACTGATACAGTAACACAATTAACTTGTGTCCCAAAATAGTCCCCGGAAAGACCCTGGCTTTAAGAAAAAACCAACCCTTTTATACAGCTCTGTCAGGAGCAGAGCCTAGAGTAAGCATTGGAGCAACCAGAGCTGTTTCCTTCGGTGAAGGAAGAGTGAGCCTGGTTACCTGGAAGGCTACAGTGAAAGGTAGTAAAAATCCTGGTGGGCCTTTGCTGTTCTAGGAACCTCCGCCAGTAGTATTCATCCTCCTTGTGCTTACTACAAACCCTCCAGGCCCTAGCCCTGAGCACTGTTTCCCAATCAACAGAGCTCATTCTTATGGTAAAAGTCTCAGGTGCCCTGCTGTATTTTGCCAGGGGATTTGAATGAAGCCACCCCTTGAAGCTTTGTTTTGAGAATTGTCAGGTGGATACTTTCTCCCCAAAGTTTTACTGCGTTTAAATGTGTGAGGAAATTAAACCATGGGATCAGACTCTAGATCAGTGGTTCTCAACCTTCCCTATCGCTGTGACCCTTTTATACAGTGATGGTGACCCCCCAACCATGAAATTATTTTGTTCCTACTTCATAACTGTAATTTTGCTACTGTTAACGAATTGTAATATAAGTATCTGCTATGCAGAACATCTGATATTTGCCCCCCAAGTGGGTCATGACCCACAGGTTGAGAACCACTGCCTTAGAATTTATGATTTAGTCTGATTGACCAAGTACAGTTATTTTCACTCTCACCTCGAGGTTCCTTTATGCCTGAGGACTGATACCTGCAGGGACACCCCACCCCCACCCCCCCAACACAACTATGTGTGGGTTTGTGAAGTGGAGACATTTTGACTCCATTCTCTTACATTGACAAAGGGTTGCTGGACAGGAAGTGGGGGGACTATGGATTTCAGTCTGGTCCCTTATACCCTTTTTATTTTACATACTATGGAGGAAATGCCTTTTCAGAAAAGGAGGCTTTACCCCCAAGTGCCCTGCTTACAAACCATTGCCAGCTACAAAAACCCATGAGAGTGAGTGTGCAGTTTCCTGAAATGCCCACCAGGTGGGGCTGGAACCATGGCTCAGTGCTTAAGGACACTAGTTGCTCTTCCAGAGGACTGGGGTTGTGTTTCTAGCACCCATTTTGGCAGCTCACAATTGTCTGTAACTCAAGTTTCAGGGATCCAGAAGAGGGCATCAGATCCCCAGGAACTGTAGTTACAGATGACCTTAACCACTGAGATATCTCGCTAGCCCTATCTGACCTTAAAAGGTGGGGGGGAGGGGGAGTCAAGGGTTTGGACTCAGGCTTCCCTGGCCCCTCTTTTCTTTAACCCTACTTTGAACATAACACCTTAATTTCAGTGTTTTCCAGGCCCAGTGTTAATGCTGAGAAGCCATGGTTCCATTCTCAAACCACAGGCTTCAGATAGCTTCACTTTTGGTGAGTCAAGAATGCGTTGCAAGGCCTGGCCTTGGAGGGTATAACACTGCCACCAACGCTGCCATTGTCACCCCACCAACCACACCACCAGCAGTCGGCCACCCTCACCACCCACACCACCACACCACCACTTGAAGCTATCAAGAACTTTCTAAATGTGAACATACAACTAGCCAGACCGCTCAGCCAATGAATCTTTTGGCCGAGGTCAGAATAAGACAGGTGCTCTTTGCCTAATGAGGATTGATCAGCTTACAAAAGATTGGGTCTCACTCTGGGTAAAACTCAGTTCCACGTTTGATGAGCAGAAAGGTTTTAATAGCTCAGGCTGAAGAATTAACTTCTTGGGCAATTAAAACTATATCGTTTACTCCAGTTCGTGATTTATAGCAGTGCTAGAAAATTTCATTTAAGCATCAACAGCTGATGTTTCTCACACCCCACCACCACCACCCCTTTCTTGCCATGTCTCCTTGAAATGATACAGATGAAAGCAGAAGACACACTACGCTAAGCAGGAGTTGGGTGTCTGGGTCCAGCTGTCTGGAGTAAAATCTGGCATTGTTGTGTGGCTCATTCATTGTCTCCTTTTGCACTCTGTCCATGCGACCTTTAAATATAAGGTACTGACAGATGGAAAGTCAATTCTGAGAATTCCAACCGAGCTCAAGTGTAAAGCAGCCTGTTTAGAACCCACACCCTTGGGAGCATTCATATATTTTAGGAAATAAGAGCAAACAGCTGTGACCCACACCACCCAGGCCTTCATGCCTACCCTGAATCTTGGCCAGAT